TGGGGGACACCAGACACCACTGCAGACTGGGAACTGAACAAATGAGTGCATGTTAAACCCAGCCTCATCCAGCCTGTTTCTCCACTTGGCTCTAGGAGGCTGGCTCACAGAACACGCCAGTGTTTCTAGGGAATCCTCAAAAAATGGCCCCTTCAGCTCACTCTCCATTGGCACTCCAGTTGACAGACACCACCCACAGGCTCAAGCTTTGAAACAGTTTTTTTGGCAACCATTCGCACTCTTCATTATGAGCAAACGATTACCAGATATCCAAGGAAGGCCTCTGGCATGAAAGGCAAGGGCTCACAGCAGCAAATGGCAAAAAACACCTCAAAGGGAAGATCAGAGAAGATGAGCGCACTCAGGTGTTACTCCAGAAAGGGAGAAGCAGAGAACACAAATGAGCTCCTGGAAACCAAGCACTAAAGGGGGAGAGTGGAAAATTCATTATGGCTGAAGGAGAAAAGTTGAAGAAGCAAGCCCAGAAAGGAGACATGAGGGCTGGGGAGATGGCACAGTCAGCGTCTGCCTTACAAACACGGGAGAACCCATTTGAGTCTGAGTCTGGGTCAAAACGCCAGACATGGTAGTCCATGCTTATAAGCCCAGCTCTGGGAAGTCGAGACAGGCAGATTCCTGGAGCTTGCAGGACAGGCTACCTAGACCTAGGGATAAGTCCCCAACCAGTGAAAGGCTCTATCACAGACAACAAGGGAGGGCACAGAGATGGCCCAGTGGGTAAGAGTCCCTTGCTCTGCAAGCGTGTTGGCCTGAGTCTGACGCCCAGCCAGTGAGTGAGAGCGACAGGTTTTCAGAAAGTGAGCATGGATGAAGACACAAGAACAGCAGGACACAAACACACACACTCACACACACACACACACACACACTCACACATACACATACACACACACACACTCAGGAAACAAAGGCTTTGGATTTCTCCTTAACAACAGTGAACGCTAAACTGTAATCAAGTGGTACTTCCCGAATCCTGAAGAAAACTGGTTTCCAATCTATAATTCAACTCAGGTGTGAAGGGAAAATAAGACATTTTCATATGTGTATGGGGTCACAAGACACTTAGCTCCCAGTATTCTTTGTCAGAAAGCTACTAAAGGATGTAAGGGGGGGCTGAAATGAGATCCAAGTGAGATGCGGGGTCTGAAGGATGGGGAAGAAATGATATCTAGGATGCTGATGTGCTCTGTGTTCAAAGTGCAACCCTCTCCCAACTAAAGCAAATATAAGGCGCCAAGGACAACCTCCCTAAGAAAATGAAACACACAGAAAATCCTCCCTTCTGAAGGCTCTTGGAGAGTTAGACAATTGGTAGAGCCTTGATGATGAGTTAATGATATGTACAAAGAAAACTAAGCAAAAACAATTATTATATCTAGAAAAAATAACAACAAAGATGTGCAGAAAGAAAAACTCTCCACATTTATTTCACAGCTCGAATAGGGTTCTCAGCCATCGTGACAGAAACACCTGCTAACAGTTTGGATACAGTTGTCCCCGTCTCTGCTCACTGAAGGAGTTTAATCCATGAAGCTTTCTTTATGTAGGAAGCTTTTATGTAGAGGTAGAAAGGCATTCCTAATACGATGCCAGAGGTGAGGCTTTTGGGAAGTGATTAGATCAGATAAAATCATTTGGGTGGGGCCATTGTGAGTGAATTCTAGCAGCTTCAAAGGGAGAGGGAGAGAGACCACACAGGCACTGAGACAGCCATGTGGTTCCTGCTGAGATGAGACACAGCCAAGGGGAGGTCCCTCCTAGAAGCCTGCAGCTTCCAGACTTGAGCTAAATAAACTTCTTGAATTTTCAGTGAAGTAGCCTGTTGCAAGTATTTTATTAAAAAATGACGACAACAACAAACACTGACTACACAACACCAAATGTTCCTTGTCTTAAAATTATCTGATCACTACGCTGAGAAGTCACGGGAGTGGGGATGATGCATGCGTGGGATGTCATGGGCGGAGCTAAACACCTCCAGGAGGGTCAGGGGCTGAGATCTCAGAAGAGCAACCTAATGTTCTCTTTGGAGACAGGGAGTGGGGGAGGGGGAGGCTGCAGATGGCCTAGTAGGGTGTAAGCCTTTTCCTGAAGACCACTCTACCTTCTCTCTGGTTTTGTCAGCCATCATCCCAGGTGGACACAAAGACACTGGGCCAGGAAACCAGAAACCCGAGTCACGCCATGCCACACTCTCGGTGTTTACAGAAAGCAAGATCATTATTTACAGGAAGAGAAACATTGAGCTAATTGACTTTTAAAAGACATCAAATACAGCAGACAAACAGAACATAAAACCCCATGTGGAAAAGGGGCACAGTGTCCCAACCAGTAGGCGTCTTTGTCCACAGGCTTTTCCGGCTATCTCTGCTACCCGGAACCTTCTCGTGCCTCGCTCTCTAAGTCACCAGCCTGCTTTTTCCATGATGCAACTCACACTAAGAAAACAGAACTTCACTCTTCTCAGAATGTCCAAGTCCCCTAACCAAGTTATGCCAGTCCCTAAAGTTCCCTGCCCCCACCCTCCTGTCTGTCCTGGAAAAAGCTCTGGGTTGTATGAGTCATTGGGCTCCCCTCCTTGGGCTGCGAAGTCCTCTGCTTGCCCAAGATTGTAGGGGACAGTGGTGTAGGTTTATGTCCAGCCTGAAGCCAGTGGATGGTGGTTAACAACTGATGGAAAAAGGATAAAGACAAAAATTGGGGGAATGGCAATAACAAAAGACAAAGGTTCTTGCTTCTGGGATGATACTGTTTGCCTGTGTGTGCGTGCGTGCGTGCGTGCGTGCGTGTGTGTGTGTGTGTGTGCTTCATTAATTCATTTAATTTTGGTGTGTGTGTTGTTTTGAGACAGGGTCTCATGTAGCCCAGGCTGGCCTTGAACTCCCGATTCCCCCCTGCTTCCAGTTCCCAAGTGCTGGAATTACAGCATACACTATCAGGTCTGGCTAAAATTAACATATTTTAAAAGTGAATTGATAGTGATTACGGGTGACATATTTTTTAAATGTCCTTATTTGGAAAAATTGGAGGTTGGTATCTCTAGTCCCTGCTGAAAACAAACTTCGGTTTTGGAATAAAACATCACCGTGGAGAATGATCTCGAAGAGGACGAGACCCACCCCAGAGCCAGAACTACAGACTCCAAGGAGGCATCTAGTCCAGGCTCCCTTTGGTACCAAGTACATGCCAGAATCCCCCTGCCAAGGGCCTCCTGGCAAGCCCTGCTTGGCTCCTTTTGGTGGTGGGGGCCCATTCCCCATGCAGTCTTGACCATTTAGAAGTATCTCCTTGTACTGTTGAAAACGGGCACAGTCCTTGGGCAGTTCTACCCCTGCTCACACTTTCTCATTCTTTGACCTTCTCCATACTTGTATTTCAAACCTGTCTGAGGGTGGGTTCCCCACCCTTCTCTGCACCTGAGGGCCCCGACTGCCACTTAGGAGGAATCGCAGCAATGGTTGAATGACTACAAAAATCCTCACTCAGTAGCCAGCTCCTCCTCTTAGGTTCCTGGGCCTCATCTCAGAGGCAGCCCTGCCCTCAGAGTCCATCCTGTTCCAGACAGAGGGAAGGTGTGCCCTCTCTGCTTCAGATCACTATTCCGCCAAGATCCAAATGACGTGTGAGGAGTCTGAGAGTTGCCATTTGTCAACCCAAGGCTACCTGTCACAAACGATGGACAAATTTAAATAAGACCTCAGAGTGACTGGGGAGTCCTTGTGGATATCTGGGCGTGGCCAGGCTGCCCTGGGGAAGGGCGGGGCCTCTTCATAACAGAGAAAGTCTCAAGCCACTGTCCCTAAGGAATTGAGAGGTGTGGGATAGTGCTGAGCACTGCAGGCTGCTGGGAGCCCGGAGTCTCCTTGCCACCTCGCCACGCCTCCCATCGTACGTAGGAGGACACCGAGGACTCACCCCAAGAGCAGAGTATGGATATGCACACACACCTGCTTGTCTGTCTGTCCTGGGAATATGGAGTGTAGGGTTCAGCCTTGGAAAGTAGAGGAAGCCAGAGCAAAACGGGCGTGTTACTCCTGCGGGTGTAGCCGGCCTTTGGTACTGTGAAATGGCAGCCATCTACAAACTTCATACTTAAAAACTGTAAGCATTCCAAAACACCAAAACCAAAACTGACACCAACAACCAAACAAACCTACTGTTTTCAGAAAGGTTGGGGTTTTGTGAGGGACTTCACTCAAAGATATAGGCTGCGTATGGCTCAGCATGGCCTGCGTGTCTGAGGGGTCCCAGCTTGGGGAAGTTAGCAGCGTGAATGGATGGACAGATGGACAGAAAGATGAGAAATTAATGGAAGAGATGGAATCAGAGTGCTCTCTTTAAACACCTGGAAATGGACAAAAGCAGGCTAGGGAACAACCTTCAGGCTCCCCAACTCTCTCCTTCTGGCTTCTCCCAGGAGACCCTGAGGAAGCTCTCCGCCCCTCTACAGGAGCCCTATTTCCCTGACATGGCATGAGCAAAGAGAAGAGCCGAAGGAGGCTGGGCAGATGGCCTGAAGGAGCCCTATGGCTTCCTCAAGGCCCCTGGTGGTCCTGTGTGGGATCCCCCACTTTCTTACTCACAACATTTGGGATACAAAGGGCAGCAGAAGGAATGAGATGGCACGGGGTCTCTGGGGTCAGTAAATGGTGAGCCCCAAAAAGTGTGTCACAATCAGATGACTCTCAGAAGGGCTGACAAGCTGGGGATGGGAGGCTTGTGACTGGGCCAGCGAGAGCTTCCACCTAACAGGGGAGATCTGGGGTAACTCTCACAGTCCAGGCTGGATGTCCTCGATTAAGAGAGGGCAATAGTCAGTACTCCTGTCTGGCCAGGTCTGATGGGGATGGAGGGAAGACAGATTTGTGTGAAAAGTATTTGAAGGCCACGTCCTGATGGGCCCTCTGCCTGGAAATCCCAGAGCCCCTTTAACACTCAGCATGGAGGGCCCCCTCTGCCCCTCCCCATCCTGGACTCACCCTCAGGGCAGGAAGAGAGATGACCTGGTCCATCGTCAGTGTGGCCTCCTTATAGTGCTTGCCTGAGGGGCAGAGCTTCAGGAAGGTGTCATGGATGCTGAGAAAGAAGGCAGGCATAATGGTCACGTGGGAATGAAGGGGGTGTGGGGTCCCCTGCCCGTGTGTGCAGGGTGTCTCAGGAAGGAAAGAGGACTAAGAGTGGGCTAATACAGAACAGGGCACATCCCCAATCCTCCCATGTTCCGTGGGGGTGGGGGCATAAAAAAGAGCCAGGACACACACAGCAGAGCGGCTGTGTTACACAGGCCACATTCCACAGCGTTCATTCTCGAACGTCAGAGCAGGCAGGTGTAGTGAGATGACTTTCTCTTTTGGGGGGCCCACCACCCAGCTCCCAAATGATCACACACGGAGGCTTATTCTTAGTTAGGAATGTCCCGCCTTAGCTTGGCTTGTTTCTAGCCAGCCTTTCTTAACGTGAATTATCTGTCTACCTTTTTCCTCTGGGCTTTTCCTGTTTCCCTCTGTAAATCTTGCTCTTACTCCGTGGGTTGCCACGTAGCTGGGCGACTGCCCCCCCCATGTCCTCCTCTCCTTGTCCCCATCTGTTTTTCCTCTCTGCCTGCCAGTCCCACCTATCCTTGCTCCTGCCCTGCTATTGGACGACCATTCAGCTCCCATCAGGTGTTTTAGATAGGCAAAGAATCACAGCTTCACCGAGTTAGGCAAATGCAGCATAAACAAAAGTCACACAGCTTAAAATAATAATGCTACCACAGGCAGGAACTTCTGTTGTGGCTCCTCCCAGCCCCTCAGGGACAGATGGAGACATCCTTCTTGGACATCCAGATGCCCTCATCCTCAGCGTGTAGGAAAGAGGTCACTTGGTGAACACAGAAGCCTGGTTCAAAACCCATGTACTGGCAGCTGGTAACCTGACAGCCGAGCCAGACTCACAGGTAGCAACAAGCAGCGCCTGCAGGCTGAAGTCCTAGGGAGCTAGCCTCCTGCCTTCATCCCTTCATGGCGCCCTAGGCAACTCTGTAACCAGACAGTCGGTCTGCAGGCAGCCAGGCAACTCTGTAACCAGCAGGCAGGGGGGAGTGGTGTGGCTGCGTGACCACTGAGTACACAATAAGAAGGAACCCTTGGCCAGGCCAAGAGAAGACGATCTCTTAGCCTCTGTTCCTCTCCCCTATCCTGGACTGCAGGCTCTGGCCACCAGCAGGCTCTTGGGACCACAAGGCCAGTGACTGTGGCAGCCAGTGGGGGAGAGGGTAGATAGCAGACTGGGCAAAGCCGTGCAGTCTTGGGCAAATTAATGCTCCATCCTTTGAAGCCATCGATACCTCTCTTGCAGCTCAGGTTCAACGTATGTGAAAGGAAGTGCATACGTGTGTGTGTGTGTGTGTGCATGTGTGTGTGTGTGTGTGTGTGTGCATGCATGTGTGTGTGTGTGTGTGTTAAGGTGTAAATAAGCTTTAAAATATGTTTTTATGTGAGGATAGACCTGAGTCCCTATCTCCTCTCTGGGTTCTTCTGCACATCTAGCACATGGTTCCTTTTGGCTGGTGGACAACTTTCAGCTAGAGTAAGATGGAGGAAGATACAGGGAGCCCTCTTACCTCACTCAAGCTTTCTTTCCAGCCTCACTTTTAATTATTGTTACTGCATCTTCAATTATTATTACACACACACACACACACACGAGCACATGCCACTGCTTGCACGTGGAGATCAGAAAACAACTTCTGGAAGCTACTTTTCCTTCTCTCATGTGTGTCCCAGATGTCAAGCTCGGGTTCCCAGGCCTCGTAGTAAGCGCTGTACTTGCTAAGTCGTCTCACCAGCCCTCCAGTCTCTTTTATGATTCCCCACTTAAGCTTCAAAATTATCCTTCTCTCCTCCACCTCGTTTCTACTCTGCCTTTCTCTTGCATCAAACCTCTAATCTCCCCCGAGTGCCAGGAGCTAGCAATTTAATTCACAGTCTGGAGTGAATAACTCACAGTTCCTCCATTGACATCCCCAGATAAACGCAGATGAATTTTAGTCCGTGGGGATTTAGGGACACGTGACTAAGTGAAGAATTCAGGGGTGTCTCTGACCAGAGAATCAGGGGTAGAGGAGGAGGCCCCAGCAGTGCCCGGCAGCAGCGTGCAGAGCCATCCTCTGTTCCCATTTTAGCCACTCATCTTGTCACAGCTCGCTGACTAGGAAAGCATCCTGTAAATCTCAGCCATGGACAAGTGGAGGAAAAATAAGCCAAGATTCCGTTTGTCCACAATGCGGCCTAGTTTTGCACGCTGAGAGGCTGGTCTCCACCTATTGACCGGCTTGCTGGCCTTCAACTTTCCAAATGGGCTTGGGCCCAGGGAAAGCCCGAGCAGGAAGTTGGAAGCCTTGAGAGAATAGTTAGGGTCCATCTCCCTTGTCCTTACAAGCTCAGCACAATCTGCCCTTCCAGGAGGCCAGCTGCAGCAGCTCTGGCCTGCACCAGGACCCCTCAGCCCTGAGCAGGGACAGTTGGTGTTTAGACACCTCCCACAGCCTCTGCAATGTTTCCCCCGTTCCATCACCTCCCAGGACTGCAGTTGAGGATACTGCCTTCATCCTCCTGGGATGCTGACTAATGAGGCAGACAAACCCATGTGAATCCTTTTCCTTCCCTACTAAACGTGGGACCAGAGACCAGAGACATGGGTTCTATTCCTGCCTCTTCAATGGGAGGCGGGGCCTTTCCAGGCAGGCTCTGTGCTGACTTGGGAGGGCCTGGCAAATGGGAGGTGGACCAGGGCTTGGAGACACTTGGAGAGAGCCATTGCCCTGTCAATCTAGTAAGGGACCCTGAACTGTCCCCAGCGGCTCTGTGTTAAGTGTAAAAGGGAGCCAAGAGAGCAGGGTGTGCAGAAGTCAGGAGAGGATTCTAAAAGATGTTGGGATGCGAGAAGGATCGTCTCAGATCAACAGGAGGAAAGAAAAGCCATTCCTATTGGAAGTTTCCTGCTGACCTCAAAGGGCAAAAGGAACGTTTTTGTCACTGTCATTGCTAGAATTGCTGCAAATCAACTTCCTTCCTTCCTTTTTTTCTTTTTTCAAACAGGTCTCACTATGTAACCTCCGTTAGCCTAAAACTCACTTTTTAGATCAAGTTGGCCTTGAACTCATAGAGATCTGCCCACCTCTGCCTCCAAAGTGTTAGAATTAAGGGTGTGCACCAACCATCATGTCCAGACAAAAGACAGACTTTCACTAGGTGTGTGTTGGGGTGTGTGTGTGTGTGTGTGTGTGTGTGTGTGTGTGTGTGTGTGTGTTAAGAATACATGTGTCCAGATGTGGATGTTCACTGTCTTATTCTACAACTGTTCATCTTATTTTGCGGGGACAAGATATCTCCCTGAACCCACATCTCACCAATTCAGTTAGACTATTGGCCAGGGCTCTGTAGGGATTCCGTCTCTGTCTTGTCACTTCTGAGTCAAAAGCAGGGCTCAGCATTTTCACATGTGTTTTAGGGACCGAACTCCAGGCAAGCACGCTACCAACTGAGCCATCTCCCCAGATCTTCACTAGGTTTAAGCCTCCTGGCAATGCATTCTTGTGGTGTATACCTAGAGTGACTGCTTCTCTCTCCATACCATAGGCAGGGCCCAGCAAGGCAGGGACCACTCCTCTACAGAAGCGGTAGATGCCTTGTCCAGAGTCACATGGGTGTGGGTGTTAAAGTGTGAGTTGCAGACACCAGGGCTCCACCCAGAAGTCCTGAGAAGGGAGACTGGGAAGGCCCTACAGTTGTCATCACCCCTCTTCTGACCACACACTGTGTTTTGGGCATACCCAGACATGTCACCTCCTAGCATCTTCCCAATAGGGCCTATGGGAGAGGTGTAAGTGACCATTTTGTGGATGGGTAAACTGAGGCTTGGTGAGTTTACCTAGTATGCCCAAGGCCATACAACTGGGAAGAAACAAAGAGTGGATGACTGAACTCTAAAATGGATTACCTGCATTGTGCTAGCTCCCCTTAAAGGGTTCACAGGTGAGAGACTCTATGCACCCATTCCCGACTCTGGGCAAGGTTGCTGAACGGAGCCCTGCCCAGACTCCATGCCTTCCCAGACGGCCACAGGGACCAGCTGTCCACAGATGAATCACGGCTGCATCTCGGCTGCCACAGAATGTTCTCCTCCTCCAAATATGGATCAGCCAGCTCGAAATGGAGCTCTGAATTAATCACTAATGGACTCAAAAGTCAAAGCCATTTGAGAAACTCACACGTTCAGCTTGCCAACAGCCAGGCAGCCTGGGTGGGGCTCACTTCCACGCTTGGCTCCCAGACGAGAGAAAGACTCAGAGTCTACTTTGCTGATAGCTACCTCTCTGTGTGACCTTGGGGCCCCCTCCCCTTCTTCTCTCCCCTCCCCTCCCTCTTCCTTTCTCTCTCTTTTCTCCCCTCCCTTTCCCACAGCCTCAGTTTCTCATGAGAATGAGGGTCATGGTGAACCCCCTGCCTGGATCCCTCTAGTCAGGCATCTGTGGCTCCAAAAGTCTGTGCCCATCTCTGCCATCCCACCATCGCGGCCTCTGAGACTTTTTAGTTTAGTGGGTCTCAAACGGTGGGGGGCACTGTTAAACCCTGTAGGGAACCTGTAAATGGCTCTGTACCCCGCTAGGCCTTGGGGTTCTTATTCAAACCCAGGACAATGAGCAGGTTCTACAAGCTTCCAGGTGCCTCTCCCAGACCTGCAAGACCAAGATCAGAGATTTAATGCAAGCTCATGGTTCCTGCCTAGGCTCAGGAACCCAAACGTACAGATGGGTTCCGGGCTCTGGGGCCCAAACATGCAAAATTTTCCTTCCAAGCCGTGTGACCCTGGGAGAATCGGTGTCTTTCTCTGGACCAGTTCCCTCCTTTGCAGAAGGGGAATAATAGCCTGGTAGCAACAGCTATGTGTGTTCAGCCCCAGCTGGGTGCACATTGCTCACACAATGGCCTGCCATCTCCTTGGCCTACAGCAGCTTTGTGAGGTTGGTGCTGAGTCCCCTGACATTGTTTTATGGTATGGACACCGAGCTCCAGTCACATAGCTGAGCCTCA